TTATGATACTACCAACTGATATTTGTCTTTTATTTTGCAATAGAAACCATTTTTTAGTACCATTTACTATAAGATTTTGTCACATTCCTCTTCTTCTTTTTTAACGCTTTTGATTTTATTAGAGAGCAAAGTTTCAGTTAACATAGGAGGAAAATCCCTCCAGTACAAGAGAAATAAAACTAAGAGATGCCAGTTGGCACCATATAAAATTGAAAAACAGAGTATTCTCCTAGGAGGGAGAAGAGGGGAAGATCATCAGACCCTAGAGAATCCCCACAAGTACGATTCAAAGATTGAAGGGCGGCGTTACCCTTATATAGCTTCCGACGCAATGATATGATTCAGCCAACGCGGACCATCCCGAGCGATATAAGATTGATGATGACCATCCATAATTACACTCCTTGCTACTCTCTGAGTGATTTGATTGCATGATTCAGAAGTATGTGAGAAACTCCAGCTCTCAAAAGAGAGGAGAATGTGAAAGATTTGGTCCATTAAGCTCCGGTACATCGGAAATGTAAGAGGACGGAGCAAAGCTTCTCGTGCTTGAGTGAAATGCGATTCAAATAAACAATATGGGCTCGTTTCCTTGGCATCGTCATATTAGGAGCATCACGCCACATGTGAGTCCGACAATCAAACACACGAACGGCCGAGGAGGGTTGCCTGTTGTCGTTGCTAATGATGGTTCCTCCAATTTGGTAGATTTCGAAACCGACGGCTACATTGGTCGACTTTGATGGAGCAGAGGAAGAAGGTGTTATTGGTAATAAGCTTAACTCATCCTTAATCCAACCGTCGGTAACTAGGGTTCGATCAAGAGCGAACCAGCGATCAGGGAGTGATGAAAACTCTTCGCATAGGTAGAGGCAAGGCTCTGTGTTTCCGAGCCGGGCTCGATGAGTGTATAGCTCCTGAGAAAACACGAGAGAGCGGACGCTCTTGGAGAATACAGAGAGGACACGGTATTGAGATTTGGAGGTGCGAGATAAACAGTTCAAAAGTATTTCATCGGGAAGTGATGAAAACGAAGAAGAACTTGTCTTCTTCTTCTTATTTTTCTGCGGTGGTGGCTGCTCTACCACGGTTGTTCTTCTTTTAGGTCTTGTGTAGAAGCCCTTAAGGAGAGGAGGCATGGGTGTGTTATAGTGGAAACGTAAATGGTAATTTGACCAAATTGTCAATATAAAGAATAGTTTGGAGGTTTGAGTAACTAATTAGGGCTCCACAAACAAATTTATGTTAAGGTTGTACACATCAGATTTTAATCAACCAATAATTAATGTCCACATCAACATTTATAATTAAATTTTTTTTTTTGTTAGTAATAGAAAATTTCTATTTTTTAAAGTATTTAGTATAAGTTAAATTTTGTTTCTGTTAATAGAAAACTTCTATTTTTTTAAAAAAAATTATGTATTATTAAAAACATAAAATGAAATATATAAATTAATGCTAAAAGCGGGTTGGAAACATTGAATTTTGTTTGACAATTTTATCAGTACCCCCAGTTTCTTAAAACATTTACTTTATACTAAGTTATTATTTTTTGTTTATAGAAAAGTTTTTTTTTTTAAGTTCGATTCGTTCCATTTTTATATTTAATAAAATTATTTCTATTCTGAAATAGAGTAAAATGGAGTATATGGATAATTAAAGCTAAAAAATTGCAAACACTGAACTTTACTTGACAATCTTAACATTAGCCTCAAATTTTATTAAGAGGCAATTGCAAAAATACCACTTTTTGTGTGTCACTTTGCAAAAATAACACATTAGGTTGTTCATTTGTAAACCACGAATTATGAATTTTTAGAGCCTAAATCATAAAATTCTAAACCCTAAAAAATGTTTTGATCCCTAAACCTTCAAAACTAAGTCCTAATACAACATTGTTAACCCAAACATAAATGATATAATGAATAAATAATTTTGAAAAAGTGGCATTTTTGAAATTTTTTTGAAAATATGATATTTTGAAAAGTGATATTTCTTGAAATTTCTCTTTTATTAATACTTCCATTTTCTTAAAGCTTGTAGTATAAATTAAGTTATTTTTTTAATTGAAAACTTCTATTTTCTAAAGTTTGATTAATTCTTTGTTTACAAACTTTTTCGTTTAAGAAAATCAATGTGTTCTTAAAAAGGTAAATATATAGAAAATTAAAGTTAAACCAAAATTGAAAACAAATCAGATCATCCTTCAAAATATATTTCAGAACGTGGATATAAAACTACAGATACAGAAGTCTAACCATTATTTAGTTATATTATTTGATTTTCAATCAAATTAGTTACATATAAAATGTCATTTTTGGTGTGTGCATTTGCAAAAATGCCACTTAGGGGTGTCAATTTGAAAAAATGCCATTAATTATGGATTTTTAAAGCCTATCTCTTAAAATTATAAGAGCAAATTATGAGGAATGTCATAATTCCTCTCAAATCATTCCCCCAATGCCATAATTCGAAACTCTTTTCCAAGAATACCACAAAATACTATTCATCCGACCTAGATTGACATTTTTACCCTTAAACCATTTCTTCTTCTTTCTCTCTTCAACACAAAA